TCTTTCCCCACTCCCCCCCCCCCGACCCCGCCCCCCCCCAATAACCCCCCGGTTTCCCCCCCCGGGCCCTCTTCACCCCCCCCCTCATCCCCCCCCCCCCCCCAGCACCCACCCCCATCACCCCCTCCCCCCAAGCCCCCCCCTGCCCCCCATCACTCCCCCCCCCCAGCACCCACCCCCATCACTTTCCCCTCCCCCCCATCTTTTCCCACATACCCCCCCCCCCCCAGCCCCCCCCCTGCCCCTCACCCACTCCCCCCCCCCGAGCACCCCCCCCGCAGTACCCCCCCTCCCCCTCTCACTCCCCCCCTCATCACCCCCCCCCCCCCCGGAACCCCCCCCCATCATTCCCCCCCCCAACCCCCCCCTCCCTCATCCCCTCCCCCCCCCAGCACCCACCCCCATCATTTCCCCCCCCCCCCCCCCCGCCCCCCCCCCTCCCCCTAAATATTTCCCCCCCCCTTTCCCCCCCTTCCCCCTCATCATTCCCCCCCCTTCACTTCACTCCCCTCCCCCTCATTTCCCCCCCTATCACTCCACCCCCCCAGTTACCCCCCCGCCCTAAACACCCCCCCCTCCCCCCCATCATTTCCCCCTCCTTTGACTCCCCCCCCCCTTTCACCCCCCCCCCCCCCCATGACCCCCCCCCATTACCCCCCCCCCCCCATCATTTTCCCCCCATGACTCCCCCCCCCCTCATCACTCCCCCCCCAGGGACTCCCCTCCCCCCCCATCACCCCCCCCCCATGACCCCCCCCTTCCCCCTATCCCCCCCCCCCCCCCCCATCACTCCCCCATCACTCCCCCCCCCCCCCCATCACCCCCCTAAACATTTCCCCTCCCCCCCCCATCACTCCCTCATCACTCCCCCCCCCCCCCCTTAAACTCCCTCATCAATCCCTTCCCTCATAACTCCCTCCCCCTCTGATTTCCCACAAAACACCCTTTACCCCCCCGGTAAAACCCCCTTCCTGGGGACCTGCCCTACTCATTTGGGGGGGGCACTTTTGCTAGGTGTTCATATGGGAATTTGTACGGGGGTGCCCCGGGTCCCCACAAGCCACCCCCCCCATGATACCTAACCGGGGTTTGGAAACTTTTGGGCCCCATGAATGGGGGAACGAGGGAATAAAGGGGACTGAACGTATGTTAGACCTGCGTGATATCCTTCCACAGCCTGCATACCTTCTGCACCAGCGGGGGGAGACTCACTCAGGAAACGGTCTTTGACCACACACTGGCAGATATGATCTGACATTACATCTGGTGCAGGACAGAGGGGTGGAGCCGCTTAGTATTCACACCTTCTGGGTCCCTCCAGCTATCTACAGCTTGAACCCTTCACTGTCCACACCCCCACACCAGGAACATGTACACGGGGGGCTATGTACACAGGGGGGGCTATGTACACGGGGGGCTATGTACGGGGGGGGGCTATGTACAAGGGGGGGCTATTGTACAGGGGGGGGTATGTACAGGGGGGGGCTTTTAGTACCACGGGGGGCTATGTACAGGGGGGGCTATGTACACGGGGTGGGGGGGGGCGTATGTACAAAGTGGGGCGGCTATGTACGGGGGGGGGGCTATTTACACGGGGGGGCTATGTACAGGGTGGGGGCTATGTTTCGGGGGGGGCCGGCTATGTACACGGTGGGGCTATGTACACGGGGGGGCTATGTACGGGGGGGGGGCTATGTACTCGGGGGGGGCTATGTACACGGGGGGAGGCCTATGTACTCGGGGGCTATGTACATGGGGGGCTATGTACCTCGGGGGGGGGCTATGTAAACTGGGAGGGGGCTATTGTACACGGGGGGGGGACTATGTACACGGGGGGGGCTTATGTTCAGGGGGGGCTTGTACAGGGGGGGCTAGGTAACAGGGGGGGGGTCTGTTTGTGTACACGGGTGGAGGGCTTGTACTGGGTTGGAGGGCATATGGACACATGGGCCAACGTTTGAACACGGGTCAGGGGCTCTGGTGACAGGGGGGGGCTATGTACAGGGGGGCGGCTGTGTAAAATCGGGGGGGTCCCATGTACAGCAGGGGGGTATGTTACGGTGGGGTGGATACTATGTACACGGGGGGGGGCGAATGTACAGGGGGGCCTAGTCAGGGGGGTGGGGCTGTGTACACGTTTCGGGGCTATGTTACTGGGGGGGCTATGTACAGGGGGGGCGTTATGTGTAACGGGGGGGCTATGCCCAGGGGGGGGGTTCAGATGTACAGGGGGGGCGGCTGTGTGCACGGGGGCTATGTACACGGGTGGGGCTATGTGCGCAGTGGGGGGGGCTTCTTGTACACTGATGCATAGACCAAATCATAAAATTAGAGTCCCGGGGGGCTATGGACAGGGGGGGCTCCCCTACAGGGGGCTTACGGGGGCATGTGTAACACGGGGGGGCTATGTAAGCCCCCATCCCCCGTGTCAATAGTGGGGGGGTCTTTCTTCCCCATGGGCCTTCCCCATTGTCAGGAGGTGGCTGGGGTGGACACCTCGCCGAGTCATGTGACCCTGGGAAAATCTGCCACCTCCCATAACCGAGTCATTGCGCCCACACATGGCCCCCCCCCCCCTTATTTGCTGGCCGTCATTGTATCCGGACTGTCATGTGCCCCTTCTCATGCTCCCCCTCCCGAGTCATGTGCCCTTCCCTGGCGCCCCCCCCCCCCTCCCCGATGCTTTACGTGATATCAGTAAGTTCCCCTATTGTTTGTCCTAGTTTATTGTTTGTTTATGCCCCTTCTATGCCCCACCTCTTCCCGGAGTCATGTGTTGCCCCTTTCTTGCCCCCCCCCCCCCCCGAGTCAGGTGCCCCTTCTCTGCTCCCCCTCCCCCGATAATTCATGTGGGGGGCCCCTCCCCCCTTTGCCCTCCCCACACCCCCGAGTTTTCATGTGCCCCTTCTCTGCTCCCCCTCCCCCGAGTCATGTGCCCCTTCTCTGCTCCATGTTACCCCTCTAGAATTCTACCACTTATCAGAACTTGGTAAGTGCTCCAGCCGATGGACAGCCCCATTGTACCGGGAATCGTACCGGGGAATTGTTTCCGGAATCGTACCGGGAATCGTACCGGGGAATCGTACCGGGAATCGTACCGGGGAATCGTACCGGGAATCGTACGGGGAATCGTACCGGGGAATTGTTACCGGGAATCGTACCGGGAATCGTACCGGGGAATCGTTACCGGGGAATCGTACCGGGAATCGTACCGGGGAATCGTACCGGGAATCGTTACCGGGAATCGTACCGGGGAATCGTACCGGGGAATCGTACCGGGGAATCGTACCGGGAATCGTACCGGGGAATCGTTACGGGAATCGTACCCGGGGAATCGTACCGGGAATCGTACCGGGAATCGTACCGGGAATCGTACCGGGGAATCGTACCGGGGAATCGTACCGGGGAATCGTACCGGGGAATCGTACCGGGGAATCGTACCGGGAATCGTACCGGGGAATTGTACCGGGGAATCGTACCGGGAATTGTACCGGGGAATCGTACGGGAATTGTACCGGGGAATCGTACCGGGATTGGGGGAATCGTACCGGGAAATTGTACCGGGGAATCGTACAGGGGAATTGTACGGGGAATCGTACAGGGAATTGTACCGGGAATCGTACAGGGAATTGTACCGGGGGAATCGTACAGGGAATTGTACCGGGGAATCGTACCGGGGAATCGTTCGTACGGGGAATTGTACCGGGGAATTGTACAGGGAATTGTACCGGGGAATCGTACCGGGAATCGTACGGGGAATTGTACCGGGGAATCGTACAGGGAATTGTACCGGGGAATCGTACAGGGAATCGTACGGGGAATTGTACCGGGGAATCGTACCGGGAATCGTACCGGGGAATTGTACCGGGAATTGTACCGGGAATCGTACAGGGAATTGTACCGGGGAATCGTACAGGGAATTGTACCGGGGAATTGTACCGGGGAATAGTACGGGAATTGTACCGGGAATAGTACGGGAATTGTACCGGGGAATCGTACCGGGGAATCGTACCGGGGAATTGTACCGGGGAATCGTACCGGGGAATCGTACCGGGAATTGTACCGGGGAATCGTACCGGGGAATCGTACCGGGAATCGTACAGGGAATTGTACCGGGGAATCGTACCGGGGAATCGTACGGGGAATTCGTACCGGGAATCGTACCGGGGAATCGTACCGGGAATTGTACCGGGGAATCGTACAGGGAAATCGTACCGGGAATCGTACCGGGGAATCGTACCGGGGAATAGTACCGGGGAATAGTACCGGGAATTGTACCGGGAATCGTACCGGGGAATCGTACCGGGGAATCGTACCGGGGAATCGTACAGGGAATTGTACCGGGGAATTGTACCGGGAATCGTACGGGGAATTGTACCGGGGAATCGTACCGGGGAATCGTACCGGGGAATCGTACAGGGAATCGTACCGGGGAATCGTACCGGGGAATCGTACCGGGGAATAGTACGGGAATTGTAAATCGTACAGGGGAATTGTACCGGGAATCGTACAGGGAATTGTACCGGGAATCGTACCGGGAATCGTACCGGGGAATCGTACCGGGGAATTGTACCGGGGATTGTACCGGGGAATTGTACCGGGAAATCTACAGCCAATCTTCCACTTCCCTTCCCACCAGAAGATTGGAATTGCTGGAAGGATATAGGTCCAGGCCTTTCTCTGAGCCCCCCAGGAAGCACACGACGTGCTCGGAGGACGGTGATCCTGGCTCAGGATTTCCCATCTGCTGGATCAGACAATAGTAACAGCCCAAGGAGCACTCCGGGTTGCTGGGAATAAAGACAGAACATACAAGTGACATATTACATACAAACACAACATGGCTAGAGAGACATCCATCATCAGACCGATAATACTTGTATATGTACGAGGACAGAGCAGGCTTCAAAGAGGACCTGTCAGGGCAGGAGTATGGGAGGTGCACTGCTGACCTGTGTTATGGAAGAGCAGAGGAGAACGTTCCGGGTCTATCACTGTCCTAGAACAGACAGATACCGCTACTCACATACTTCTACCCCATGACGGCCCATGTATGGAGGATCATGCTGTGCCCATGACGGCCCATGTATGGAGGATCACGCTGTGCCCATGACGGCCCATGTATGGAGGATCACGCTGTGCCCATGACGGCCCATGTATGGAGGATCACGCTGTGCCCATGACGGCCCATGTATGGAGGATCACGCTGTGCCCCATGACGGCCCATGTATGGAGGATCACGCTGTGCCCATGACGGCCCATGTATGGAGGATCACGCTGTGCCCATGACGGCCCATGTATGGAGGATCACGCTGTGCCCATGACGGCCCATGTATGGAGGATCACGCTGTGCCCATGACGGCCCATGTATGGAGGATCACGCTGTGCCCATGACAGCCCATGTATGGAGGAGTCACGCTGTGCCCATGACGGCCCATGTATGGAGGATCACGCTGTGCCCATGACGGCCCATGTACGGAGGATCACGCTGTGCCCATGACGCCCATGTAAGGCCGCTGTGCCCATACGGAGGATCACGCTGTGACGGCCCATGTATGGAGGATCACGCTGTGCCCATGACGGCCCATGTATGGAGGATCACGCTGCTCTGCCCATGTATGGAGGATCACGCTGTGCCCATGACGGCCCATGTATGGAGGATCACGCTGTGCCCATGCCCCCATGACGGCCCATGACCCATGTATGGAGGATCACGCTGTGCCCATGACGGCCCATGTATGGAGGATCACGCTGTGCCCATGACGGCCCATGTACGGAGGAGCACGCTCTGCCCACGGATGGAGGAGCACACTCTGCCCACGGCCCATGGAGGAGCACGCTCTGCCCATGTATGGAGGATCACGCTGTGCCCATGACGGCCCATGTATGGAGGATCACGCTGTGCCCATGACGGCCCATTGTATGGAGGATCACGCTGTGCCCATGACGGCCCATGTACGGAGGAGCACGCTCTGCCCACGGATGGAGGAGCACGCTCTGGAGGAGCACCTCTCTGCCCACGGATGGAGGAGCACGCTCTGCCCACGGATGGAGGAGCACGCTCTGCCCACGGATGGAGGAGCACGCTCTGCCCACGGATGGAGGAGCTCTGCCGGATGGAGGAGCACGCTCTGCCCACGGATGGAGGAGCACGCTCTGCCCACGGATGGAGGAGCACGCTCTGCCCATGGAGGAGCACGGCCCACGGATGGAGGAGCACGCTCTGCCCACGGATGGAGGAGCACGCTTTAGGTCTATTCATTCATATACTTCTTCCAGATTAGTGACTATGGAGGTCACACAATGGCTCACCTGAGGTCCACAGAAGCCACGTTACCCATCCCTTCAAACATGGCTCCCCGGGAGAGACGTTTTGCCATGAAGTTCCTGAGTTCAGGTTCTGCTTCAGCCGGCAGGTTTGTGTCCACCAAGGACAGGCTATGGAGACACAGACACAGAGAGCACATCATGTCCTGTCCACAATGTCCTCCATCTACTCCTCCCATGGAATAAAAGACTCACCTGAAGTCTCCTCCTGGGGGGGTGTCCGCACCACTGCTCCCTGGGCTGCCCTCATCCATATGTGGAGAAGACTGAGGGGTCCTGGAGAGACAGGACACGCCAGGGTCATACCACACGCATCACCAAAACCTGGTCTGGTACAGGTAATAGTATGGGAATGGGGGGGGGGGGTGTGAGGAACTAGGAGCGCAGAGGGAGAATGGGGGGGTGTGAGGATCTAGGAGCGCAGAGGGAGAATGGGGGGGTGTGAGGATCTAGGAGCGCAGAGGGAGAATGGGGGGGGGTGTGAGGATCTAGGAGCGCAGAGGGAGAATGGGGGTGGAATGGGGGGGGGTGTGAGGATCTAGGAGCGCAGAGGGAGAATGGGGGGGGGAGGATGAGAGGGAACTGGGGGGGGTAGGAGCGCAGAGGGAGAATGGGGGGGTGTGAGGATCTAGGAGCGCAGAGGGAGAAATGGGGGGGTGAGGATCTAGGAGCGCAGAGGGAGAATGGGGGGGTGTGAGGATCTAGGAGCGCAGAGGGAGAATGGGGGGTGAGGATCTAGGAGCGCAGAGGGAGAATGTGGGATCTAGGAGCGCAGAGGGAGAATGGGGGGTGTGAGGATCTAGGAGCGCAGAGGGAGAATGGGGGGGTGAGGATCTAGGAGCGCAGAGGGAGAATGGGGGGGGGGTGGAGCGCAGAGCGGGAGAATGGGGAGGATCTAGGAGCGCAGAGGGAGAATGGGGGGGGGGTGGGGAAACTAGGAGCGCAGAGGGAGAATGGGGGGGGGTGTGAGGATCTAGGAGCGCAGAGGGAGAATGGGGGGGGGGTGTGAGGATCTAGGAGCGCAGAGGGAGAATGGGGGGGGGGGGGAGAATGGGGGGAGTGAGGATCTAGGAGCGCAGAGGGAGAATGGGGGGGGGGGGAGCGGGGGGGGGGGGGGATGTGTGGGGAACTAGGAGCGCAGAGGGAGAATGGGGGGGGTGAGGATCTAGGAGCGCAGAGGGAGAATGGGGGGGTGTGAGGATCTAGGAGCGCAGAGGGAGAATGGGGGGGGGTGAGGAACTAGGAGCGCAGAGGGAGAATGGGGGGGGGGGGTGTGAGGATCTAGGAGCGCAGAGGGAGAATGGGGGGGGGGTGAGGATCTAGGAGCGCAGAGGGAGAATGGGGGGTGAGGAAGAAGACATGGAGACAGGTCCCAGGGATGATTATTGGGGGGTATTTGGGGGTGCAGACGATTGAAGTCCACAGGACACGAGACGCAGCAACACAGAAGGGTTCTCAGGAGGGCAATATGGGACAGCGGGGGGCCGATAGTCCACAGGGTTCAATAGGACGGAGCAGTGGGGAACCGCAGGGGTTGAAGTCCACAGGAAAGGGTTTCGGGCTGATAGTTCTGATAGTGACCAGTCTGCCCATAGCCAAGACAATGCCTATCTGAGGCAGATCTGGGGGGGGGGGGGTTGGTAGTCTGGAAAAGCTGATGGCGGAGCGTGTAGTCTTCTCTCCCCTCCATCCGGGCCCTGTCCGGTAGGTGAGGCGGTGGTAGAGAGGGGGGTATGGGGGTGTCACCCTCCAGGCTGGTGCAGGTACACACAGTAGTGGTATGGGGGCGGTATGTACTAGGCTCACCCTCCAGGCTGGTGCAGGTACACACAGTAGTGGTATGGGGGGCGGTATGTACTAGGCTCACCCTCCAGGCTGGTGCAGGTACACACAGTAGTGGTATGGGGGGCGGTATGTACTAGGCTCACCCTCCAGGCTGGTGCAGGTACACACAGTGTAGTTGTGGTGGCTCTGTCGCCCCTGGGGGGTCACTCCTCTCCTCTCCATCCATACACTAGGCTCACCCTCCAGGCTGGTGCAGGTACACACAGTAGTGGTATGGGGTGTGTTGTATGATACTAGGCTCACCCTCCAGGCTGGTGCAGGTAAACACATTCCTGAGTGAGTGGTATGGGGGATGGTATTCCTACTAGCTCACCCTCCAGGCTGGTGCAGGTACACACAGTAGAGGTATGGGGGGCGGTATGTACTAGGCTCACCACATGTATGAGGGGGAGCTTCCCCTCTCTGTGCAGGTACACACAGTAGTGGTATGGATGGGGGCGGTAGGACCTAGGCTCACCCTCCATTGCTGTCCCGGTGTGTCCCCGGTGGGGAGATTCTCCTTCAGTACCCCGGTAGGGAGATTCCCCCTCTGTGTCCCAGGGAGGATTCCCCCTCTCTGTGTCCCCGGTCTCCTCTCCATCGGTCACTCCTGTTCCTCCTCTCCATCCCCGGTGGGGAGATTCCCCTCTGTGTCCCAGGGGGAGATTCCCCCTCGTGTCCCTGGGAGCCCTCTCTGGGTGCCCCCTCTCTGTGTGGTGGGGAGATTCCCCTGCTCTGTTGTGTTGATGATGATGGACGTCACCGGTAGGGAGATTCCCCCTCTGTGTCAGCCGACAGTTCCCCCTCTCTGTGTCCCCGGTTCCTGTGTGGGGAGATTAAACCCCAGGTTCCTGAAATGAATTCCCCCTTCCGGGGGTCCCCAGGTGGGGAGATTCCCTGTGTCCCCTGGTGGGGAGATCCAATGTCCCCGGTGGGGAGATTCCCCCTCTACTAGGTTGTCCCAGTGGTGATGGGGAGAGGACCCCCATAGACTGTGTCCCCGTGTCCCCGCGTGGGGAGATTATATCTGTGTCCCCGGTGGGGGAGATTCCCCCTCTGTGTCCCCACGGTGGGGAGATTCCCCCTCTCTGTGTCCCCGGTGGGGGGGAGATTCCCCCTCCTGTGGTCCCCGGTGGGGAGATTCCCCCTCTCTGTGTCCCCTCGGTGGGGAGATTCCCTCTCTGTGTCCCCTGGTGGGGAGATTCCCCCTCTGTGTCCCCGGTGGGGAGATTCCCCCTCTCTGTGTCCCCGGTGGGGAGATTCCCCCTCTCTGTGTCCCCGTGGGGAGATTCCCCTGTGTGTGGGGAGATACTCCCGGTGGGGAGATTCCCCCTCTCTGTGTCCCCGGTGGGGAGATTCCCCCCTCTGTGTCCCGGTGGGGGAGATTCCCTCTCTGTGTCCCGGGTCCCTCTCTCTGTGTCCCGGTGGGGAGATTCCCCCCTCTCTGTGTCCCCGGTGGGGAGATTCCCCCTCTCCCCTCTCTGTGTCCCCGGTGGGGAGATTCCCCCTCTCTGTGTCCCCGGTGGGGAGATTCCCCCGGTGGGGAGATTCCCCCTGTGTCCCCGGTGGGGGAGATTCCCCCTCTGTGTCCCCGGTGGGGAGATTCCCCCTCTGTGTCCCCGGTGGGGAGATTCCCTCTCTGTGTCCCCGGTGGGGAGATTCCCCCTCTCTGTGTCCCCGGTGGGGAGATTCCCCCTCTTGTGTCCCGGTGGGGACTCCTGTGTCCCCGGTGGGGGGAGATTCCCCCTCTCTGTGTCCCCGGTGGGGAGATTCCCCCTCTCTGTGTCCCCGGTGGGGAGATTCCCCCTCTCTGTGTCCCCGGTGGGGAGATTCCCCCTCTCTGTGTCCCCGGTGGGGAGATTACTCCTGTGTCCCCGGTGGGGAGATTCCCCCTCTCTGTGTCCCCGGTGGGGGGGAGATTCCCTCTCTGTGTCCCCGGTGGGGAGATTACTCCTGTGTTCCCCCGGTGGGGAGATTCCCCTCTCTGTGTCCCCGGTGGGGAGATTCCCCCTCCTCTGTGTCCCCGGTGGGGAGATTCCCCTCTCTGTGTCCCCTCTCTGTGTCCCCGGTGGGGAGATTCCCCCTCTCTGTGTCCCCGGTGGGGAGATTCCCCCTCTCTGTGTCCCCGTGTGGGAGATTAGATTCCCCCTCTGTGTCCCCGGTGGGGAGATTCCCCCCTCTGTGTCCCCGGTGGGGAGATTACTCCCGGTGTGTTCCCTATCTGGTGGGGAGATTATCCCCCTCTCTGTGTGTCCCCGTGTGGGGGAGATTCCCTCTTCTTCTGTGTCCCCGGTGGGGAGATTCCCCCCTCTGTGTCCCCGGTGGGGAGATTCCCCCTCTCTGTGTCCCGGTGGGGAGATTCCCCCCCTCTGTGTCCCCGGTGGGGAGATTCCCCCCCTCTGTGTCCCCGGTGGGGAGATTCCACCCCTGTGTCCCCGGAGGGGGAGATTCCCCCCCTCTGTGTCCCCGGTGGGGAGATTACTGCTGTGTCATGTAATGTAATATAATATAATGCGAACACGTGACGTAGTGAAAGGCCACAATGAGCTTCGTGTGAGAGTTCCGCCAGCAGTAAACATGGCGGCGGCGGTGTGTGATGGGTGGGCGGGGCTGTCCGTGTTCCCGCCCGGCAAGTGGTGTGGGCGGGGCGGGCGGAGGGATGCTATTAGTAGGAGGTGTGTGGAGGACGGCCGGGCGCCATCTTGTCGTGTGTCGGCGGGTTGTCGCGGTGTGGAGTGTGCTCGGTGTGTAGGTCGGTGTGCTCGGAGGTGTCGGGATGGGACGGAAGAAGAAGAAGCAGCTGAAGCCGTGGGTGTTGGTATCCTTGTCTGTGTGTGGAGGGGGGAGGGGTGGTCTCCTCATACAAGATGGCGGAGCGTGTAGTCTGCTCTCCCCTCCATCCGGGGCCTATCCGGTAGGTGAGGCGGCCTGTTCACTCGTCTCCCCCCCCCCTCAATTCTTTTTCCTCCTTAGAGATGTGAGGTCACCCCTCCCCCCGCAGTGTGTATGGAAGGGGGGGGGGGGGGTGTCGGAGTCCTCGGTCATGCGGAGACCCCCTTCCCCTCCACCTCTGCGGAGACCCCCCCCCCCCAGGATGTGTTGTCACCAGAGACCGGAAGTGAGGGGAATCCTCCTGTGGTGACCTGGGGGAGGGGGCTTGCTGGCACTTCCTGTGTGGTGTCTGGGCTCAGGAGTGAGGGGAGGTCTCCCCGATGCCAGCGCTGCCTCCTATTGGTGGGAGAGGATCGGGTAGATAATACTGCGACGGGCTGCACACCATACCCCCAGAGATGGCGCTGTTGTATTTCCTGGGGGGCTACACATGTCTATCACGGGGTCCCGGGCAGAGATCACTGAGGAGCCCCGACAGGGGCCGGTCTGCGTGGTAGTGCGGTAACTGTGTGCGCGGGGCGGTCTGCGTGTGCGGGAACACGCGGGGCGGTCTGCGTGTGCGGAACGCGGGGCGGGGACAAGGGCGCCTCTGCGTCGTTCTCTGTGTGCGGAACGCGGGGGCGTGGTTCTCGCGTGGTGCGGTCGGAACGCGGGGCGGTCTGCGTCGTGCGGATTAACGCGGGGCGGTCTGCGGTGTGCGGGGGAACGCGGGGCGGTCTGCGGGGGACACGGGGCGGTATCTGCAGTGTGCGGAACGGGGGATGCGCGTCTGGGCGGTACGTGCGGGTGCGCGGGGACACAGAATTTCATGTAGTTTGCTGGGGGTTGGTCCTCTGCTGCTCATCGCCCTGTTGGAGTAATTAGTCCCGCCACTCCTGGGTCCCGCTCCCCCCTCCAGTCCAAGACTCCTGAAATGGTGTTCATGAAGGCGCCATGACGTCACTGGCATGCACCCCAAGTCCGGCTCCAGAACTGAGCACACATATTGTTCATGGGGAGTAGCTGGCCAATAACGGACATTGACATTCTGGAGGGAAGTGTGGGGGTGATGGCAGATTTGTGAGGTTAGGCATTTGCTGAGCACACTGTACACAGAAGATGGCAGATTCTAGTAAGGGCGTCCATAGACCCCCCCCCCCCCAGGACTGAGCCACTGGGGGGGGTACACATCGGGCACAATCTGGGATCACTGGTCAGACACTGCTGCCTGTGGTAAAGGGCCATATCGGTGGAGTGGTGCTCTCACCCTGTGTGTCAGGACAGGAGAGCCAGTAGGTGGCCATGTATATCGGGGGAATTCCCCCCCCCTTCTTTCCTGCTCCGGCGCGGTGCATTCCCCCCCCCCTTCCTTTCCTGCCTCCCGGGGCGCGGTGGTCCTCCCCCCCCCCCCACCCCCCCTTCCTGCCTCCCGGGGCGCGGTGTCCCCCCCCCCCCCTTTCTGCCTCCCGGGGCGCGCGGTGTCCCCCCCCCCCCCCTTCCTGCCTCCCGTTGGGCGCGGTGTCCCCCCCCCCTTCTTCCTTGCCTCCGGGGCGCGGTGTCCCCCACCCCCCCCTTCCTGCTCCCCTCAGGGGCGCGGTCTGTCCCCCCCCCCCCTTCCTGCCTCCCGGGGCGCGGTGTCCCCCCCCCCCCTCCCTTTTCCCTGCCTCCCGGGGGGCGCGGTGTCCCCCCCCCTTCCTGCCTCCCGGGGCGCGGTGTCCCCCCCCCCCCGACTTCCTGCCTCCGGGGCGCGGTTGTCCCCCCCCCTTCCTGCCTCCCGGGGCGCGGGTGTGGTGTGGTGGTCCCCCCCCCTTCCTGCCTCCCGGGGCGCGGTTTGTCCCCCCCCCTTCCTGCTCTCCCGGGGCGCACGGTGTCCCACCCCTTCCTGCCTCCCGGGGGGGCAGCGGTGTCCCCCCCCTTCCTGCCTCCCGGGGCGGGCTGTCCCCCCCCCTTCCTGCCTCCCGGGGCGCGGTGTCCCCCCCCCCTTCCTGCCTCCCGGGGCGCGGTTCCCCCCCCCCCCTTCCTGCCTCCCGTCCCCCCCCCTTCCTGCCTCCCGGGGCGCGGCGGTGTGATGTGTCCCCCCCCCCCTTCTGCTCTCCCGGGGCGCGGTGTCCCCCCTCCCCCCCTTCCTGCCTCCCGGGGCGCGGTGTCCCCAGTCCCTTTCCTGCCCTCCCCCATTTGCCCCCCTTCCGCCTCGGGGCGCGGTGTCCCCCCCCCTTCCTGCCTCCCGGGGCGCGGTGTCTTGGTCCCCCCCCCTTCCCTGCCTCCCGGGGCGCGGTTGTCCCCCCCCCCCTTCCTGCCTCCCCGGGCGCGGGGTGTCCCCCGTCCCCCCCTTCCTGCCTCCCGGGGCGACCCTCGGTGGTCCCCCCCCCCCCCACCTTCCTGCCTCCCCGGGGCGGTGTCACCCCCCTTGCCTCCCCGTCCCCCCCTTCCTGCCTCCCGGGGCGCGCGGTTGTCCCCCCCCCCCCATTCCTGCCTCCCGGGGGCCGGTTTGTCACCCCGGTTGTCCCCCCCCCCCCCTTCCTGCCTCCCGGAGGCGAGGTGTCCCCCCCCCCCCCTTCCTGCCTCCCGGGGCGAGGTGTCCCCCCCCCCCTTCCTGCCTCCCGGGGCGAGGTGTCCCCCCCCCCCTTCCTGCCTCCCGGGGCGAGGTGTCCCCCCCCCCCCCCCTTCCTGCCTCCCGGGGCGCGGTGGTCCCCCCCCCCCCCCTTCCTGCCTCCCGGGCGAGGTTTGTCCCCCCCCCCCCCCTTCCTGCCTCCCGGGCGAGGTGTCCCCCCCCCCCCTTCCTGCCTCCCGGGGCGAGGTGTCCCCCCCCCCTTCCTGCCTCCCGGGGCGAGGTGTCCCCCCCCCCCTTCCTGCCTCCCCGGGGCGAGTGTCCCCCCCCCCCTTCCTGCCTCCCGGGGCGAGGTGTCCCCCCCCCCCCTTCCTGCCTCCCGGGGCGAGGTGTCCCCCCCCCCTCCCCTTCCTGCCTCCCGGGGCGATCGGTGTCCCCCCCCCTTCCTGCCAACCCCCCCCCCCCCCCCCCCCCTGCCCCGGGGGCTGGTCACCCCCCCCCCTTCCTGGCCTCCCGGGGCGAGGTGTCCCCCCCCCCCTTCCTGCCTCCCGGGGCGCGGTAGTACCCCCCCCCCCCTTCCTGCCTCCCGGGGCGAGGTTGTCCCCACATCCCCCCCGCCCCACCCCACTTCCTGCCTCCCGGGGCGAGGTGTCCCCCCCCCCTTCCTGCCTCCCGGGGGCGAGGGTGTCCCCCCCCCCCCTTCCTGCCTCCGGGGCGAGGATGTCCCCCCCGCCCCCCCCCCCACCCCCCACCCTCCACGCCCCCACCTCCTGCCTCCCGGGGGCGAGGTGGTCCCCCCCCCCCCCCCCCTTCCTGCCTCCCACCCGGGCGCGAGGTAGTTGTGGTCCCCCCCCCCCCCCCCCCCTTCCTGCCTCCCGGGGCGAGGTGTCCCCCCCCCCCCCCCCCTTCCTGCCTCCCGGGGCGAGGTGTCCACCCCCCCCCCTTTCCTGCCTCCCGGGGCGAGGTGAGTGTCCCCCCCCCCCCCCCTTCCTGCCTCCCGGGGCGAGGTGTGATCCCCCCCCCTTCCTGCCTCCCGGGGCGAGGTGTCCCCCCCCTCCCCCCTGCCTCTCCTGGGCCTCCCGGGCGAGGTGTCCCCCCCCCCCCCCTTCCTGCCTCCCGGGGGCGAGGTGTCCCCCCACCCCCCCCCTTCCTGCCTCCCGGGGCGAGGTTCCCCCCCCCCCCCCTTCCTGCCTCCCGGGGCGAGGTGGTCCCCCCCCCCCCCCCCTTCCTGCCTCCCGGGGCGAGGTGTCCCCCCCCCCTTCCCTCCCGGGGCGAGGTTCCGTAGTCCCCCCCCCCTACCCCCCCCTGTCCTTAGGTCCCGGGGCGAGGTGTTCCCTTATTTCCCCCCCCCCCCCCCCCCCTTCCTGCCTCCCGGTGTGGCGAGGTGTCCCTCCCCCCCCCCCCCCTTCCTGCCTCCCGGGGCGAGGTGTCCCCCCCCCCCCCCCTTCCTGCCTCCCGGGGCGAGGTGTCCCCCCCCCCACCCCCCTTCCTGCCTCCACGGGGCGAGGTGGATGTCCCTCCCCCCCCCTCCCCCCCTTCCTGCCTCCGGGGGGAGGTGCAGGGGTTTTATGTCCCCCCCCCCCCCCCCCCCCTGCCCCCCCCCCCAGGTGCTTCAAAACCCCCACCCCCCCCCCCCAGATTCCTTGCCTCCCGGGGCGAGGTGTGTCCCCCCCCCCCCCCCACTGCCCCCCTTCTCTCCCACCCCCGGGGCGAGGTGTCGCCCTCCCGGGGCAGACTCTGATGTCCCGGGGCCCCCCCCCCCCCCCCCCCCTTCTTCCTGCCTTCCCGGGTGGCGAGGTGTCCGTCCCCCCCCCCCCCCTTCCTGCCTCCCGGGTGCGAGGTGTCCGTCCCCCCCCCCTTCCTGCCTCCCGGGGCGAGGTGGTCCCCCCCCCCCCCCTTCCTGCCTCCCGGGGCGAGGTGTCCGTCCCCCCCCCCTTCCTGCCTCCCGGGGCGAGGTGTCCGTCCCCCCCCCCCCCCTTCCTGCCTCCCGGGGCGAGGTGGTGTCCGTCCCCCCCCCCCCTTTCCTGCCTCCCGGGGCGAGGTGTCCCCCCCACCCCCACCCCCTTCCTGCCTCCCGGGGCGAGGTGTCCCCCGCCCCCCCCCCCCTTCCTGCCTCCCGGGGCGAGGTGTCCCCCCCCCCCCCACCTGACTACCCCTCCGCCTCCTGCCTCCCGGGGCCGAGGTTGTCCACCCCCACCCCCCCCCCCCCTTCCTGCCTCCCGGGGCGAGGTGTCCCCCCCCCCCCCTTTCTGCCTCCCGGGGCGAGGTTGGTCCCCCCCCCCCCCCCTTCCTGCCTCCCGGGGCGAGGTGTCGGTTCCCCCCCCCACCCTTCATGCCTCCCGGCTGGCGCGGTGTCCCCCCCCCCCTTCCTGCCGTCCCGGGGCGCGGTGTCCCCCCCCCCCCCTTCCTGCCTCCCGGGGCGCGGTGTCCCCCCCCCCCCCTTCCTGCCTCCCGGGGCAGCGCTGGGTTCCCCCCCCCCCCTTCCTGCCTCCCGGCGGGGCGCGGTGTCCCCCCCCCCCCCAGCCTCCACTTCCTGCCTCCCGGGGCGCGGTGTCCCCCCCCCCCCCCCCTGCCCCCTCCCGGGCGCGGTGTCCCCCCCCCCTTCCTGCCTCCCGGGGGCGGTGTCCCCCCCCCCCCCCCTCCCTGCCTTGGCCGATGTTCAGCTTTCAGTGCTGTCCACTTTGGACGACAATTGCGCGGGTCATGCAACACTACCCAATACGATGAAATTTTATATCAATTTTTTTCACACAAATGGCTTTCTTTTGGTATTTTACTCCTCGCTGGGGGTTTATTTTTTGCAGTATAATAAACATAAAAAGAGCAAAATATTTAAAAAATTATTATTTTTTTTTTCTATTATAACATTTTTCAAACCAGTAATTTTTGCTCCTTCACCGGTGTGTTGATGAGGCCACTGATGGGCCCCGCTGGGCGGCACTGATGGGCCCCGCTGGGCTTCACTGATGGGCCCCCTGGGCGGCACTGATGGGCCCCGCTGGGCGGCACTGATGGCCCCGCTGGCGCGGCACTGTGGGCCCCCGCTGGGCGGGCACTGATGGGCCCCCCCCTGGGCGGCACTGATGGGCCCCCGCTGGGCAGGCACTGATGGGCCCCGCTGGGCGGGCACTGATGGGCCCCCTGCTGGGTCGGCCCACTGATGGGCCCCGATCATCATTGCTGGTGTCCCCCGGTTATCGGCAGTACTCCTCATGCTGTGACAGTGCGAGGAAAGTGCAGCCCCCCCTTCCCTGCACTGCATATACCCCTGATCCTGCCTGTCATTGGACACGGCTGATCACATGGTATAAGGCCACTGTGATTGGCCTTTCGCCACAATCATGGAGATGGCTGGGGGGTGCGAGGAAGGGCGTCAGACCCAGAACTGGAAACGGCGCTGTCCGTCATTCAGCTGTAGCGTGCTTGAAGCAGAATTTTCCCCAGGACAGTCTGCGATCAGTTGGTATTGTTTGGCCAGGACCACACATTCCACATGAAGAATTGTGCTGCAGGTTGCCTCCAGCATTGCTCCTCTTCTCTTGCTGGAGGTGGCCATTTTGTTGAAGCCAAGAGCAGTCACTTCCTTGCTGAGGACGCTCCCCCCTCTCCTTGGTCTCTGAATTTGCAGAAAGTGATATGGAGTCATGATGTGTGCATTTCCAGCCTGGCTCAGCTAGAGAGGAAGGCTGACAGAATGTTTGCAGTTGCTGGAGATCACAGGCTGGGGATGAGGGAGAACATCAGGCAGGTAAGTGTCAGGGTTTTCATGTCTCCTATGGTGTCTTGTAGAGTCTACTGAGCATGTGCAGAGCAGGGTGAGACAGGTACAATGCTCCAGTACATAGAAAGGTGGTGTTGCAGGTAGCAGGCCGTCCACTGTCCTATGGAGACTCCTTAACTGTCCTCCAGGTACTGTAACCGAGACTTTGATGACGAGAAGATCCTCATCCAACACCAGAAGGCCAAACACTTCAAATGTCACATCTGTCACAAGAAGCTGTACACAGGGCCCGGCCTGGCCATCCATTGTATGCAGGTAGGTTATGAGGGTCTCTTCCTCCCCTGTACCCCCTGTATTATCCTGGCCATCCATTGTATGCAGGTAGGTTATGAGGGTCTCTTCCCCCCTGTACCCCCTGTATTATCCTGGCCATCCTCTGTATGTGGGTAGGTTATGAGGGTCTCTTCCTCCCCTGTACCCCTGTATTATCCTGGCCATCCTCTGTATGCGGGTAGGTTATGAGGGTCTCTTCCTCCCCTGTACCCCTCTGTATTATCCTGGCCATCCTCTGTATGCAGGTAGGTTATGAGGGTCTCTTCCTCCCCCGTCCCTGTATGTGGGTAGGTTATGAGGGTCTGTACCCCCTGTATTATCCTGGCCATCCTCTGTATGTGGGTAGGTTATGAGGGTCTCTTCCTCCCCTGTACCCCCTGTATTATCCTGGCCATCCTCTGTATGTGGGTAGGTTATGAGGGTCTCTTCCTCCCCTGTACCCCCTGTATTATCCTGGCCATCCTCTGTATGTGGGTAGGTTATGAGGGTCTCTTCCTCCCCTGTACCCCCTGTATTATCCTGGCCATCCTCTGTATGTGGGTAGGTTATGAGGGTCTCTTCCTCCCCATGTACCCCCCCCTGTATTGTATCCTGGCCATCCTCTGTATGTGGGTAGGTTATGAGGGTCTCTTCCTCCCCTGTACCCCTGTATATCCCCCCTCTGTATTATCCTGGCCATCCTCTGTATGCGGGTAGGTTATGAGGGTCTCTTCCTCCCCTGTACCCCCTGTATTATCCTGGCCATCCTCTGTATGTGGGTAGGTTATGAGGGTCTCCTCCTCCCCTGTACCCCCTGTATTATCCTGGCCATCCTCTGTATGTGGGTAGGTTATGAGGGTCTCCTCCTCCCCTGTACCCCTGTATTATCCTGGCCATCCTCTGTATGTGGGTAGGTTATGAGGGTCTCTTCCTCCCCTGTACCCCCTGTATTATCCTGGCCATCCTCTGTATGTGGGTAGGTTATGAGGGTCTCTCCTCCTCCCCTGTACCCCCTGTATTATCCTGGCCATCCTCTGTATGTGGGTAGGTTATGAGGGTCTCTTCCTCCCCTGTACCCCCTGTATTATCCTGGCCATCCTCTGTATGTGGGTAGGTTATGAGGGTCTCTTTCCTCCCCTGTACCCCCTGTATTATCCTGGCCATCCTCTGTATGTGGGTAGGTTATGAGGGTCTTTTCCTCCCTGTACCCCCTTGTATTATCCTGGCCATCCTCTGTATGTGGGTAGGTTATGAGGGTCTTTTCCTCCCCTGTACCCCCTGTATTATCCTGGCCATCCTCTGTATGTGGGTAGGTTATGAGGGTCTTTTCCTCCCCTGTACCACCCCTGTATTATCCTGGCCATCCTCTGTATGTGGGTAGGTTATGAGGGTCTTTTCCTCCCCTGTACCCCCTGTATTATCCTGGCCATCCTCTGTATGTGGGTAGGTTATGAGGGTCTTTTCCTCCCCTGTACCCCCTGTATTATCCTGGCCATCCTCTGTATGTGGGTAGGTTATGAGGGTCTTTTCCTCCCCTGTACCCCCTGTATTATCCTGGCCATCCTCTGTATGTGGGTAGGTTATGAGGGTCTTTTCCTCCCCTGTACCCCCTGTATTATCCTGGCCATCCTCTGTATGTGGGTAGGTTATGAGGGTCTTTTCCTCCCTGTACCCCCTGTATTATCCTGGCCATCCTCTGTATGTGGGTAGGTTATGAGGGTCTTTTCCTCCCCTGTACCCCCTGTATTATCCTGGCCATCCTCTGTATGTGGGTAGGTTATGAGGGTCTTTTCCTCCCCTGTACCCCCTGTGTTCTGACCTCTGGTTCATTTTCTCTCCTTCAGGTTCATAAAGAGACCATTGACGCAGTACCCAATGCCATCCCGGGGCGCACAGACATTGAGCTGGAAATCTATGGTATGGAGGGCATTCCGGAGAAGGACATGGAGGAGCGCAGACGTATGCTGGAACAGAAGACACAAGGTGAGTCCTGACCACGTATGGACTGTCACCACTCAGTGTTGTCACTATGGAGAGTATTTACTAAAGCTGGAGAGGGCCAAATCCTGCTCACTTCTGCCTGGAATCCAATCGGCTTCTAACCTCAGCTTGATCAATGAAGCTTTGGCCATACAATCTGGAAGCTGATTGGTGTCTCTGCAGACGTGTGCTGGATCCTGCACTCCAGTTTTAGTCATTGATGCCGTGATCTGATCTGTGTGCTCCTTCACAGTGGATGGACAGAAGAAGAGAATGGATGACTCGGATTATGATGACGATGATGACTCCGGCCCTTCCTCCTCCTTTCCTCCGCAGATGCAGCCGCAGCAAGGCTATATGCCAGCCATGGCTCAGGCAGGTCTTCATGGCTTGGCCGGAGCTCCAGGCATGCCCCAGGTAACCCCCTGCATGTATCAGGCTGGGAAGGCTGTGTGTTTAGATGTCATCAGTCTGTCCTATATGATGGATGGGGGACTGGGTTTGGTCCCTCTTTTAGCTTCGATGCTGAGATTGGTCCCTCCTTGGGTGCGGGGCTGGGATTGGTCCCTCTTGGGTGCTGGGATTGGTCCCTCCTTGGGTGCGGGGCTGGGGCTTGGTCCCTCTTGGGTGGGTGGTCGTTGGGCGGGGCTGGGATTGGTCCCTCTGTTGGGTGCGGGGCTGGGATTGGTCCCTCTGTTGGGTGCGGGGCTGGGATTGGTCCCTCTGTTGGGTGCGGGGCTGGGATTGGTCCCTCTGTTGGGTGCGGGGGGATGGGATTGGTCCCTCTGTTGGGTGCGGGCTGGGATTGGTCCCTCTGTTGTACAGGATTTATATAACGCAAACAGTGTGCTCAGCGCTGTACATTATACCTGTTTAGGTGCGGGGGGGTGGGGTCGGGCCCTCCCCTGAGGTGCGGGGGGTGGGGTCGGGCCCTCCCCTGAGGGGGGGTGCGGGGGTGGGGTCGGGGTCGGGCCCTCCCCTGAGGTGCGGGGGGTGGGGTCGGGCCCTCCCCTGAGGTGCGGGGGGGTGGGGTTGGGCCCTCCCCTGAGGTGCGGGGGGTGGGGTCGGGCCCTCCCCTGAGGTGCGGGGGGTGGGGTCGGCCCCTCCCCTGAGGTTGAGGTATATCTTTTCTCCATCGCATTGTATACCTTTGTATATAATTTAGAGGATTGTCCTTCCACACACTGACACCCGAATCCTTCTCATCTCCAGGAATACCCCCACTGATGCCAACGGTGCCCCCGATTATGCCTGGAATCCCACCTGTCATGCCAGGGATGCCTCATGGGTTAGTATGTCATTGTGTGCCTTCCCTTTGTGTTCATGCAGGTAAGAGATGTACCTAATGTATAACTAAAGGCAGTGCTTTTGTTTTGGATGGAGGGGGATGAATAAGACCCCCTATCAGGTTTTATTATGGTCTGTGTCCCTGTTGGGGAGATTCACCCCTCTATTTTTCCTGATTATCGTTGAAAGTAAAAGGAAAATCCCACATTTTTGTATGGTCACCAGAACAGGAGTAGAGGGGAAACCTTCCAATGGTGACAACCAGGGATTTGGAGGGATTCCCTCACTTCCTGTTTGGCAATGGGACAGGAAGCAAATGGAGTTCTCTCCAATGGGACACAGATGGCAGAAAATGCCAGGGGTCATAACCCTCCCTTCTTCCTTCCACAAGCCAAGTTCTGCCTTTAGTTAGCACATTTTTCAGCTGTAAGCAGTGGTACCGTCATCGGCTCCATGTCTGCACCTGAAAGCCTAGCTGAAGTAGAGTCCAAACTTCGAAGTACAATCTCTCTGGGTCTCATGTCGGAGGGCAGGAGTGATGATGGTCCGGAGGGGCAGAGATGAAGTGTTGGGGGATGACTGACAGCAATGAGGCTGTAAACTGCTATGACATGGGTCGGTGTATATTAAATGGTATCCAGACCCCACTAATCACAAGTACGATGTCATGGAACCTCCAATATAGGAGAGGAGTTATTATGGAAGACATGAAATGAAGGGAAATGTCTGCACCGTTGTGATCTCCTGGACTAGGGTTTGTAGTACATGTGTGTAATGGTCTCCCTATACACACCCTTCCACATGGGGTGGAGAGAGATGCCATGTGCTGTATTCCCGGGTCACCCTTTGGTTCTACTGCTGAGATGAATGGGGTTGGGTGCTGACCAGTCCTTTCACCCTTTCCTATCTCATACTTGTGTCTTTGTTCAGGATGCTGCCAATGAGTGGTATGATGCACCCGGCTGCAGGAATCCCCCCTATGATGGCTGGCTTACCTCCAGGTATGGCATCTCTTCAGCTGCTCTTGTTCTCCTGTCCTCTGGTTTTGATGTATTGATTATTTGTCTCTTATGTTCTCTAGGAGTTCCCCCACCAGTAGGACCTCGGCCTGGGATGCCGGCCACCTCCCCAGCTCAGATCTCTGTACCAGGTGTCGGCAGAGTCCCCACACCCGGTACATCGTCCCCTGCTGTGCAGTCTGTGCCCAAACCACTCTTTCCCAGTGCTGGACAGGTATGGCCTCCTAAAGAGCTGCTGCTCGTTCTCTCCAGACACTGACTGAGAGGTCTGTGTAGTGAATGGTGTTGGAGTGGTAGACTCGGGATGTGGAGCTGATGGTGTCAGAGCTGATGGTGTCAGAGCTGATGGTGTCAGAGCTGAGTCGGCTTGTGATGGTTGTAGAATGGACAATAAATCTAAAGGCTCCTGTATGACGGTCTAAGCGCCTTCCACACCCAATGACTGGTGTCTCAGGCCTCTTCTAGTAAGAACTGCCTTAGCCTTGCATTGTGGGACACAGGATGACAATCAGGAAGATTGGGTCATATTGCCACCCTCAGGAGACTGACAGAGCTGCAAGGACAGTCTAGTGTACAGCCCTTCCATTCCCAGCATGCCCCTGACTGAGTCTGACTGCTGCCCAGCCCTGCCCTCCTCCTCGGGTTTGTTGGGGATGGAGTGTTCTGCCATGTCTGAGTTTATGGATGTTATTGTCATTGCTTGAGTCCTCAGCTGCTTAGGAAGCAAACCAGACCCCCAAATCTTTGCCCTGGAGTCTCTCCTTTTGCTGCATCTGCTGGAACTCAATCAGATGTAGGAGGGTGATGGGACTTTTTCCAGTTCTGGGTATCTTCCCCGGGCTGTATGCTCCCTGTGTCCACGCTCCCCGTGTCTGCTCTAGCTATACACACCAAACTGAGCATGTGCAGAGTGAAGCCACACAATGTTTCATCAGGAGATGGGGGGGGGGGGGGAGGCACTGGAAGAAGGGGAGGATCAAACAGCCTTTTTTTTGCTCAATGCAGAGGATTAACCCCTTAGGTTCCACAGTGAGTATAACAAGCATGCTTTATCTACAGACTGATTGTACTGTTGTGGGGGGTTAGTGACGCTTTAAGGGCACGTTCACTCCTTGATGTGGCATCCATATGCCTTGAGTTAGAGCTGCCAGCATTGTCCTTGCTAAAGGTCCCAGCCTGGTATCACCTTCCCTGTATGCCCACCTTGTACTGGACTACTCTCAGCATAAACTGGCCAATGCCGGTCTCAAGACATTTTTTTGTTCCTGTTGAGGGAATCCTGGTGTAAGGACCCCGTGGATAGGCCTGAAGCCCTGTCTAAGAGTTTGTTCTCCTTTGAAGGCCCTGCCATGGACCATTGTGACCGTGTCCATCTGCCAGACTCTGGATCCTGGTTTTATATACCTACTGACCCTTCTGTCCCACCTGCTGGAGCTCCTCCTGACGTGGTGTTATGGTCTAGGTCAGGGGTCTGCAACTTTTAAGACATAAAGAGCCACTTGGACCCGTTTCCGAAGGGAAAAAAAAGACTGGGAGCCGCAAAACCATTGCAACATTTAAAAACAAATTGTCGCTCTTTTTTGGTTTATAGCGTAAAAAAATAAACCGCAGAGGTGATCAAATACCACCAAAAAAAGCTCTATTTGTTTGAAAAAAAGGACGCCAATTTTGTTTGGGTACAACGTTGCACGATCACGCAATTGTTAGTTTTATGAAGTGACGCAGCGACAAATCGCAAAAAGCGCTCTGGTCATGAAGGGGGTTTAAGGGCCCAGTAAGCAAAGGGTTAATCAGGGCCACAGTGTATCGTCATAATCACAATCATAGCCTTCGGTAAATATGAGGGCCCAATGTAATCCAAATTATAAATACATTATTATTATATTGTCACTTTTCTATTAATATTTTTTTAACCCCCCCCTCAGAACTACTTTTCATAGAAAACGTTAAATTAACTTACCTTTTTTTGTTCTTCACTCTCCCGCGCAGTGCTGTGTTCTTCTTCACGCTCATGCAACGCTAGCTCACGCTGGTTTCGGCTCTGTCACTCCTCCCCCTCGCACACAGGAGCCTGACGTCTCCAGGCACTGTACTCGTGGCGAGGCGGAGCTGAACCACATTGAGTAGCTACGCCGTATAGTAATTCATCCCCCATATAGTAATTCATCCCCCATATAGTAATTCATCCCCCACGTAGTAATTCATCCCCCACGTAGTAATTCATCCCCCATATAGTAATTCTCCCCCATATAGTAATTCATCCCCCCCGTAGTAATTCATCCCCCCCCGTAGTAATTCATCCCCCATATTGTCTCAATTCACTTACCTTTGCTCCAGCGCGTTCCTCTCGCTGTGTTCCCGCGCTGTGTTTCCGGTCTTCAGGGCGGACTGTGAGAGGAGAGGAGTTCGTCACGCTGCCCCGCCTACATCCTGGCTGCCCCGCCTACATCCTGACAGCCAATGTTCCACGCTCCGCGGGCCGGATTAAAAGAGTCCTGACTTTTGAGGCGGCCGCCCGAGAGGAGGGAGGGGAGCGGGCGCCCAGCACACAGAAGGGATTTTTCAGATGTTTGCATCTCTCAGAGATACTGTTCTGGACCCAAACTATGATTTGGTCTTTGCTGTCAGCCAGCTTCATTTTCTCAAACTTGCCAACACTTCCCAGACCAGTCACTGGTGTAGAGCAGCTCCCCTCCCAAGGGGTTACACTGTATGGTTCTGGGGGTTCCAAGGTTTTTACTCCTTCTGTAGATTTCTTTGGTTTTCTATGCAACCAACCCAGTCAGTGTTTGTTTTCCATCACCCAGGAGGCTTTCTGGTCTCTGTATCCTTCATGTCTGTGTATTTGCATGTCCCAATCTGCAAGCGGTCAGCTAATGTCTGATGCCCTGAACATTTCCTACAGATTTGTGTGAATATTACATTTCCATAAGTCTCAGCTGGAACAGTCTCATTGCTCGGGAGTATTGGGGGGCTGCTCCTGGATATGGCCTTGTCCAAAGTTTTCCTGACTCTCCACCCCCATGCTTGGATTCTGCAGTCCAGGAGCTGGTCAGCCATCTGCTTTCACAGGAGGATTGTGGGCATCATGGTAGCATTCAAGGCTGCCCCATATGTCCGTTCTTGTTCTGTGACTTGGTAGTCTGGCATCTTGGGACATGTGTGCCAAGTCTCTGGACCCCTGTGTTCACCTGACCTCCAAAACTGGGCTTGTGTTGGAACGAAAAGTGGAATTCTTCCTCGGTGGTCTGGAAGGTTCTCATGATGGATACCAGCCTGTTGGGTCTTCTACGTTTTCCATGGACTCGGTTGTCTGAAGCTCAGCTCCTGAGCAGTATTTTGGAGCTCAGAGCAATTTGGTTATTGCTTTGGTGCTGAACCTTACCTGTAGGTGATCTGATGTGGATTCAGCTCGGCAAGATCTTCAACTATTGGGGGACCAGAAGGTTTGCAGCTCAAACGGTTCTTTGTGGAGCAGAAAGTTCTACTCCTCCTGTCTGGACTTCAGAGTGGACTCGCCATCCTGAGCTTTCTGACCCTCTATGGTGGAGGACATTGGACTTTCTATGTTCAACAAACCAAGCAAGATGCTCTAGTTCAGCCTCATCTGTGCTTTTCCTTCCCTTCATTGCTGCTGTGCAGGGTTTAGATGGAGAGCATGTAGGTGATTCCTATCTCGCTGAACTAGCCGTGGCTGTCTGGGACCTCTGAGGGACCCTCCCAGGTCATCTGGATCTTCTGTCTCAAGGACAGATTTGTCGTCCCACTGATGCTGGTTTGGGTTGTAAGGTACTTTGGGGATGCTGTACACTTCGTTCAGCCCTGGACTTTCCTTTTGTGTGGACGCCTTTTTAATGTTTCAGTCACCCTCCTCTCCTCCCCTCAGTTGGGCTGCTTGAGATGTCCCGTGTTCTGATACGAACACGTGTCCTGTAATATAACTAAGAAACTGGATTTTTGTTCTTGTATGTGAAATCCTTTTGGATTTTGTTATGGGACGCGGGTCCTTCCCAGAACAGAGGGATGCTGAGGTCAGGAGCTGGGCTGTCTATACAGGTTTGTGTTTTCCCGTGTCAGATGTCTTCAAGGTGGCAGTATAACCCAGAATAATATCTTGTGTCCTGTAATGCACTCCAAGAAGGATTTTATGGGAAATACACAACTCCTATTTACCTCCACTGACCAGAAAAACTTTTTTTTTTTTTTTTTTTGTTCCCTCTGACACTGCACCCCCAGAGTGGACAGGTTTCTGCAAAAGTGTTGTCAGTCTAGAAAGCTGTGGGAGGGGCTAGGTGCTGATTGACCAGCAGTGACCATTCTGATAGCCCCGCCCCTTCCATTCTAACATCTACTCCCGCTGTGGCACTACCACCTACATGAGTGACTGCTCTCAATTTAGGAGCAGTGCAGCATTGTCGCCCCATCACAGGAAGCTGCATTTGGTGGGAAGAGGCATTTGTGTGCAGGAAGACAGAGGTCATAGTTCAATTACTTAGTTTTTGAGCTTGTATCAGTGGGGAGTGCTTTGAAATTGTGTAAGTATGCAGATGGCGGTATCTGGGGTCAGTATGAATGCAGAGTGTCTGTATTGAGTGCAGGTGGGGTCAGTAGGGGTGTGTGGGAGGAGGTGGGGTCAGTGCGGGGGCAGGTGGAGGCGGGGGGGGGGGGGCTGTGTGGGTGGACGGAGGCGGGGGGTCTGTTCGGGGGCGTGTGTGCGTAGGCGGGGTCTGTATGGATGCAAAGTATATGAAGAGTGTACATGCAGTGGGTGGAGGTGTGGTGCGTGCAGGCGTCGGCGGGGTCTGTGGGTGTAGGCAGGGGTCTGTAAGGGAGTGGGCGGAGGCGGGGTCTATGCGGGCGTAGGCAGGGGTCTGTAAAGGAGCGGGCGGAGGCGGGGTCTGTGCGGCGTAGGCGGGGGTCTGTGCGGCGTAGACAGGGGTCTGTAAAGGAGTTCGGGCGGAGGCGGGGGTCTGTGTGGGCGGAGGCGGGGGGGTGTGGGCGGAGGCGGGGGTCTGTGTGGGCGTAGGCGGGGGTCTGTGTGGGCGGGGGTCTGTACGGGCGTAGGCGGGGGTCTGTGCGGGCGGGGGGGGTCTGTGCGGGCGGGGGCCTGTACGGGCGTAGGCGGGGGTCTGTGCGGGCGGGGGGCTGTACGGGCGTAGGCGGGGGTCTGTGCGGGCGGGGGTCTGTGCGGGCGGGGGTCTGTGCGGGCGGGGGTCTGTGCGGGTGTAGGCGGGGGTCTGTATGGATGCAAAGTATATACAGTGTGTAGATGCAATGGGTGCAGGCCTCTGGATGTGTGGATTAGTGTGAGTTGTAGTGCGGGGTCTGTGTGGGCGGATTAGTGCGGGGTCTGTGTGGGCGGGGGTCTGTGCGGGCGTAGGCGGGGGTCTGTGCGGGCGGGGGTCTGTACGGGCGTAGGCGGGGGTCTGTGCGGATGCAAAGTATATACAGTGTGTAGATGCAATGGGTGCAGGCCTCTGGATGTGTGGATTAGTGTGAGTTGTAGTGCGGGGTCTGTGCGGGCGGGGGTCTGTGCGGGCGGGGGTCTGTACGGGCGTAGGCGGGGGTCTGTATGGATGCAAAGTATATACAGTGTGTAGATGCAATGGGTGCAGGCCTCTGGATGTGTGGATTAGTGTGAGTTGTAGTGCGGGGTCTGTGCGGGCGGGGGTCTGTGCGGGCGGGGGTCTGTAGGGCGTAGGCGGGGGTCTGTATGGATGCAAAGTATATACAGTGTGTAGATGCAATGGGTGCAGGCCTCTGGATGTGTGGATTAGTGTGAGTTGTAGTCTCCTCACTGCTTCCTTTCTTTGTGCTGCAGATGGGATCACCAGTCACAAGCTCAAGCACTTCGTCCTCCAATTCGGAGCCCCTCTCTGCACCTGCTAAAGCCCTCTTTCCTAGTGCTGCACAAGTATGCAGGATACTGCAGTTTGTAATGTTTGCTCAGGTTAACCCTTGGTAGACTGTAGACGATTGTACAATAACAGATGGAAGGGTTAATGCATGCCGTTAGCAAAGCATTGATTGGGCAGATAGTGGCTTCTTGCATGTCTGTCAGCAGATCCTCACCCCAAAGTCTTCATTTGGCTTCAGCTTCTGCTGGTTTTGTAGTGTGAGCAGCAGAAGGGATGACGGATCATTCGGCCTCCTTGGGGGGGTGCTCAGTAATGACCTTGATTGGGGTCCCCCAGAGACTCACATGATGGGTGGAGTTCCCCTGAACAGGCTTTCCCTGGTGGGTACTAGACTGGTGCCTGTCACTTGGGGGTCCTGTGCATGCTTCTGACTCAATGTGTTGGCATCCCTTGCTGTGACTGCGGATTTGGTTCGGATATGTAGAGTGTTCACTGCTGTGTGGTCTGGCTTGGCTTTGTGCATCACCATGGACTTCCTCCTTGTACTGCTAGTAACAGGACTTTTCTTTGCAGGCTCCTTCAGCGGTGTCAGGCCCAGTGGGAACAGACTTTAAACCCCTGAACAGTGCCCCAGCCACAACGTCTGAGCCGCCTAAAGCAACATTTCCTGCTTACACTCAGTCCAACATGTCAACCACTAGCACCACCAATAGCACTGCTGCTAAACCATCTCCTTCCATAACAAGTAAGCCTGCTACCCTGACTACTACTAGTGCCACTAGTAAGTTGATCCATCCCGATGAGGATATCTCTCTGGTAAGTCTGGGCTCTCCCCTCTCTTGTTTCTGCCATACTGGTGTCATTGTATCCCCTTTTATAGCATTGATTTCTCTGCATGATTGTGCCCACCACCTTCATCCCGACTCTATTGTAATGTACTGTGTTCTGTTCTCAGGAAGAGAAGCGTGCCCAGCATCCTAAATACCAGCGTAACCTTCCACGGCCTGGCCAGGCACCTATGGGCAGCATGGGCAGTTCAGCTGTGGGACCGCTAGGAGCTCTGATGGGACCACAGCCGGGAATTCCACCCCAGCAGCCTGGCATGAGGCACCCCATGCCGCCTCATGGTGAGCGACGAACACGCGTGTTATCTTGGCGACGACCCCGCTATGGGGCCTATTGGCGACGACCCCGCTATGGGGCCTATTGGCGACCGGTGCATACATGAGCAGTTCATCCTACTATCAGGGACATGTAAACTTGCTGCATCATACAATATGGCTGAAGGATACTAATGGGGTCCTCACACTTGGGTACATATCTGCAGTTGGAGACAGCCATGGAAATCATGGCAGTAATTTGGTCCTGTTCTTCCAGGCTCAGCCAGGGCAGATACATGTATGGGATGCAACGATACCGTGTGGGGTTTTTTTTTTTTTAAATTGATTACCAATACTTTGGGTCACGTACTCACAGATACCGATTACAGATACTTTTTGGTGCAATTTGCATTAATGGACACATTTCACCACTGAGAATGGTATGCGATTTGAAAAGCAATGCCATTCTTGTCCAGATCGCATACAGTTTCCCCACCGCTCCTGTGTGATCCCAGGCTTGGCATCTTGTGTTTACACAGGAGCGGTGCAGGAAGGTCTCCCACAGTGGGGATGTATACTATGGTGGCAGATGCTTCGTATACTCAGTGGTAGTTGAGCAGAGATTTGAAATCCCTGCTGCTTTCTCTCCTCTCCTTGCAGCGATGACAGTTCGGGCTAGATGACTTTTGATTGGCCATCAGCACCATCACGTGGGCAGTGCTGACCAATCCGATGCCATCTAGCCTGAACTGTCATGGCTTCAAGGAGAGGGGAGAAAGCCGCTTCACAGGTCTGTGGATTTGATGCCCCCAACACTTTCTCTCCTCCTTGCAGTGATGACATTATGAGCTAGATGACATCTGATTGGCCAGCGCCGGTCCATGTGACAGTGCTGATCAATCAATAGCCCTCTAGCCTGAACTGTCATCCCTGCAACGAGAGAAAAAGTGGCATAAATTTCAAATCCCCAGACCTGTGAGGCCTGTGACAAGCCTAGGTTCTCACACATGCGATTCGGGCAGGAATTGTTTTCCTGTTCAAATTGCATGCTAATCTTTGTATCGTTAAGCAATCGGGGGTATGTTCAGGAATCGGGGGTATGTTCAGGAATCGGGGGTATGTTCAGGAATCGGGGGTATGTTCAGGAATCGGGGGTATGTTCAGGACTCATGAAAATACTGTGTTTTGGCACAGACACCCTTCTCTGCACATCCCTAATAGAGATCTTCTACAATCTGATTGTAAATTGACAAATCTGACTTCCTTTAAAGAGAAACTAAACCCCCCTTCTCCCTTAGGAAGCTGTCCTCTGACCCATGTGATCAGGTAGGACTCCTGCCATGTGATGGTTTGACAGTTTGGTGGAGAGCTCAAGCAACTATGACAGCAATCCCATAATGCCAGGAATGTAACTTTTTTGAACCAGTTACATTTCTGGGTTTTATTATCACATTGCTGATTTTTATGTTTCTCACAAAGCTTTTGTGTTTTTCGGGGGGGGGAATTGAAAACCCTAATTTAGATGAAAATAAAGTGTTTGCTTCCACTTTAAACGTGAACTAAATCTTTTAAGTTTCAAAACTGACATTCCCTGCATGCTGTTAATGCTGTCAGTTGCTTGAGGTCTCAGCAGCAAACTGTCATACCACCAAATGGCTGGTGTCCTAACTGATCACGTGCAGCACCATGGCAACTGCAGGTCAGAGGCTGAGATGGTGGTTTCCTTGGCTGGAAAGGATAGGAGGGTTTAGTTCCACATTGTCTGCCGTCAGTCAAGCTTTATGAATGAATCGTGGAGGTTCTGCATGGTGCTGTCGGTTGGCTCGCAGTGTAAGCTGGTTGTTCACCTGCAGTTTTCCATACACTTTCTGTGTTTTCTGACACTAAAAGCCCTGCATGCTGCATCTTTGGTGCACTTTCAGAAAATACATGATCTAATCGTGTACAGCCCTGGCCAAAAGTTTTCTGGATGACAAATATTGGTTTACCAGCAAGGAAACACATAGTCATCATTAGTCTGCACACATTGGGATTCACAGACCAGGATATTGCTGCTACTAAGATTGCTCCTAAATCCATCATTTATTGGATCATCAAGAACCCCAAGGAGAGAGGATCATTGCTGTGAAGGAGGCTTCAGGGCGCCCAAGAAAGTCCAGCAAGTGCCAGGACCGTCTCCTAAAGTGGATCCAGCTGTGGGATCGGGCACCACCAGTGCAGAGCTGCTCAGGAATGGCAGCAGGCAGGTGTGATGCATCAGCACACACCGGGGAGAAGACTTTTGGAGGATGGTCATGGTGTCAAGAAGGGCAGCAAAGAAGCCACTTCTCTGCAGGAAAACCATCCAGGACAGACTGATAATTCTGCAAAAGGTCCAGGGATTGGACTGCTGTGGATGGGGGGGGGTTAGGTCTTTTTCTCTGATGCATCCTCTTTCCAATTGTTTGGGACATCCAGAAAAAACCTTGTCCAGAGAAAAGGTGAGCGACACCATCAGTCCTGTGTCATGCCAACAGTGAAGCCTCCTGAGACCATTCATATGTGGGGTAACTTCTCACCCAAGGCAGTGAGCGCACTCACGATTCTCCCTGAGAACACCGCCATGAATGAATGGTCATCCCAGAGCAACTTCTCCCAACCATCCAAGGACCGTTTGCTGAGGAACATCGCCTTCTCCACCATGATTGAGCCCCTTTGCAGAAGGGAAAAGTCATAACTAAGTGTCTTAGGGAACAAAACATGGAGATTTTGTGTCCATGGCCAGGAAACTCCCCAGATCTTCATCCCATTGAGAACTTGTGGTCAATCCTCAAGAGGTGGGAGAACAAAAACCCCAACAAATTCTGACCAACTCCAAGCCTTGATGATGGAAGAATGGGCGTCCATCAGTCAGGATGTGGCTCAGAAGTCGATGGCCAGCATGCCAGGAGGAATGGCTGAGGTCGGGGACAAGACGGGTCAACACTGCAAATATGGACTCTGCACAATCTTCATGTCATTGTCAGTGAAAGCCTCGGACACGTATGGAATGTTCATCATTCTACTTCATATATACCTTCATGTATACCAGAGGAACATCTGACACACAGGCAGAAAACACGGAAGCAGCAGACTTTGTGACCGTTCATATTTGTCTCATTCTCCAGACTTCTGTCCAGGGCTGTATGGGAAAGCGCTGGTACACCCGTCCTGCAGCATTGTGACATGGCCATCCGGGTCTTCACAGGAAGGGACTAAGCATTGTAGGAGCCGGTGATGGACATGAAGAATTCAGACTCTTGTTTCCTGAGTGACACATGTCCATTAGTCTCTCCCATTGTGGGGGGGGGGGGTGTGTCTCTGAGCCCAATAATAAATGACATGCCTGATTTTGGTGGTTGGAAGGGGGGGAGGGATGTCATTGAGTTCCTGGACTGTCCGGTCTTCATCTTCTTCTCTCTCCTCAGGTCAGTTTGGTGCTCCACATCAGAACATGCCCGGCTTCCACCCTGGAGCAATGCCACCCTTTGGACAAGTGCCACCCTATGGTTCCCCCTTACCAGGGTGGCCCCCCTCGGCCTCTGATGGGAATGCGACCTCCTGTAATGTCTCAAGGTGGCCGCTACTGACCAGCTGCACTGTTAATAGGTTTGGAGATTAACGCTTTCTTCTCACCTTGTGCTGTGTATATAGCCGCGCTCCATCTCTCCCGCATACCAGGAACTGTTGGACATTGTTTTACATGGGGGGAGGGGATTTTTTTATTTCCGGGGAGGTTGGTTCAGGGACATAAAAGCGGACATGTTCATGATCTTACAATTTATACTGTATGGCTTCTTTTTCATCTAGGTTTTTAGAAGTGGCGTGTAGTAAATATGGTTCAGTTGTGAAGGCGCCATATACCAGGCAAAAGGCAAGTCCTGTAACATTACTTTGCTCTTTCTGAGGCCTTCACAGCTCTTCTGGGGCTGTTGGACTTCTGGTCCCCAACCGTTGTTGGTGAGGGCCCCAACTGTTGTATCTTCATGTCCTTGACTGACCTCTGTGTACTGATAAGTCTGTAATAAAATGGAAGAACATTTTGCCTTTCTGTTAATTGGCAGCTGTGAGGTTGGTAGATGCATGTCACCCGGCACCCAGGATCCAGGCTGGGACTTGCTGTGTAGGGGAGATCTATCAATCCCGTCCTGTCATCCCAGAGGTGGGCAGCAGACGCACCGCATTAGGGCTGGTCCTCTATTGTATATCCAGGTATGTAGGATCCTGCACTGTGCAGGGAGAGCGTGGCTTGGTTGCAGTATGATGCATACCCGGCATGACCTGCATGCAGCAGAAATGATCCCAATAAACTAGATCTAATCGGCATCTGTAGGTCCTCATGTGCCGAGGGTGATCATTCAAGACCCCCTGCCAGAAATCTTCATTATTCAGCAGCATACTGATCTAGTATGAAGGCATCTCCTGAAATCCCAGCAGCCCGTCTGAGGTAGACCGTCCCTTTCAAGGGCACACAAGTTGATATATCTCCCCCTGGTAAGCCAGCTGCATGATTTTTGTAGATGTCTCCCTGTAGTCAGACATGTACAGATCACTGCTGTCCTGTATGCCGTGTTCAGAGCCCGGCCCACTCTACCTGTACTGGGGGCCGGAGTGACAGCAGAGCGGTGTGTGACCCCCTGTACAGATCTCTCCTGTATATCCCCCCACAGTCTGTACTGGGGGCCGGAGTGACAGCAGAGCATTGTGTGACACCCCCCCCCCCCGTACAGATCTGTATATCCCCCCACAGTCTGTACTGGGGGCCGGAGTGACAGCAGAGTGGTGTGTGACCCCCCCCGTACAGATCTCTCCTGTATATCCCCCCCACAGTGTGTACTGGGGGCTGGAGTGACAGCAGAGCGGTGTGTGACCCCCTGTACAGATCTGTATATCCCCCCCACAGTCTGTACTGGGGGCCAAAGTGACAGCAGAGCATTGTGTGACACCCCCCCCCGTACAGATCTGTATATCCCCACAGTCTGTACTGGGGGCCGGAGTGACAGCAGAGTGATGTGTGACCCCCTGTACAGATCTCTCCTGTATATCCCCCAACATAATGTCTCTACTGGGGGTCGGAGTGACAGCAGAGTGGTGTGTGACCCCCTGTACACCTGTCCTGTATAACCCCCCACAGTCTGTACTGGGGGCCAGAGTGACAGCAGAGCAGTGTGACCCCCTGTACAGATCTCCTGTATATCCCCCCACAGTCTGTACTGGGGGCCAGAGTGACAGCAATGTGTGTGGGATACACAGGACAGAGGAGTACAGGGGGTCACACACCGCTCTGCTGTCACTCCGACCCCCAGTAGAGGCATTGTGGGGGGGGGGGGGGGAATATACAGGACAGATGCATACAGGGGGTCACACACCGCTCTGCTGTCACTCCGACCCCCAGTAGAGGCATTGTGGGGGGGGGGGGAGGGAATATACAGGACAGATGCATACAGGGGGTCACACACTGCTCTGCTGTCACTCCTGCCCCCTGTACAGCAGAGTGGTGTGTGACTGACACGTCTGTCCTGTATATCCCCCCTGTACAATGCCTGTACACAGGAGTGACAGCAGAGTGGTGTGTGACCCCCTGTACACGATCTGTCCTGTATATCCCCCCTTACAATGCCTGTACTGGGGGCAGGAGTGACAGCAGAGTGGTGTGTGACCCCCTGTACAGATCTGTATATCCCCCCCCCCCCACAGTGTACTGGAGGCAGGAGTGACAGCAGAGTGGTGTGACCCCCTGTACAGATCTGTATATCCCCCCACACAATGTCTGTACTAGGGGCTGGAGTGTTAGCAGAGTGTTGTGTGACCCCCTGTACAGTACTGGAGGCAGGTATGTTGTGTGACCCCCCAGATCCCCCCCCCCCCCCCCCCCCCCCCCCCCCCCCCCCCCACAATGTCTGTACTGGAGGCAGGAGTGACAGCAGAGCGGTGTGTGACCCCCTGTACAGATCTGTATATCCCCCCACAATGTACTGGGGGCTGGAGTGTTAGCAGAGTGTTGTGTGACCCCCTGTACAGATCTGTATATCCCCCCCCACAATGTACTGGAGGCAGGAGTGATAGCAGAGCGGTGTTTGACCCCCTGTACAGATCTGTATATCCCCCCCACAGTGTACTGGAGGCAGGAGTGACAGCAGAGTGTTGTGTGACCCCCTGTACAGATCTGTATATCAAACCCCCCCCCCCCCCCCCTTTACTGGAGGCAGGAGTGACAGCAATGTGTGACCCCTGTACTGGAGGCAGGAGTGACAGCAGAGCGGTGTGTGACCCCCTGTACAGATCTGTATATCTCCCCCCCACAGTGTACCGGTGTGTGTGACCCCCCTGTACAGATCTGTATATCCCCCCCAATGTATTGGAGGCAGGAGTGTCCCCCCCGGAGGTATCTGTACAGGTCTGCCTACTAGTGGTGAGTTGGGGGAATGGCAGTCATTGTATAGGGACTGGCTCAGTAAGTGACTAGTGGCTCTGTACAGTATGCATGTGTTTCCCTTGCAGCTCTGTGGACAGTCTTCTAAAGTCGGCCTTTTTCTTCTCCCTATAGCACTGCCCTAGCACAGGCTGAGGCTGAGTCAGTGTTACCCTTTTCAGTCTGAGGCAAGTGGCATTTATTTTACCTGGGGCCCTTCACAGCGTTAGCTGTTGGATATATATGTCCCCAAACTTGCAGCAAGTTTGGTGAAGGCCCCTAATATTGTCTTATATAGGGATAGTGACCTGATGTTATCCGCTGTTTATAGATAATTTCTTTGCTGCAATGGGCTGTGTTATGGAAAGTGCAGGAGCCTGTGTGAAGTGGTGTCGTCGGGGTGTTGGTGCCGGGTGTGTGTCCATCAGGTATAGGCGGCTGCACTCTCCATACTATACTCCATCACCTGCTGCATATAGATGAATTTCTTTCATTGGTTTCCCTGCCAAAGGTTCCGATTTTCATTCAGCCGTCCTGCCCCACTGCACAGCCAGAGGCATACTGTCAGCTCTCCATCTCCAGGTCATGTCAGCAGTGTCCAGGCTCCGCCAGGGGCTGTGATCTGACTGTGCCGTGTGACAGGTACATGGGAACAATGCATCCTTTGGGAGGTGACCGATCCCAGTATATTGCCCGTAGGGGGGGTGGTAATATTCTGGGGTTGTCAGAGACAATACTCCATGACTCCTCCTTCAGATCACACTATGCAGTATTAAACCCTCTTCAGCTCCACAGAAACAAGCAATGTGTAACTTTGATGTCTTGGTGAAGCATGCCTATGTGTCAGTTATTTTCCATTCAATAAAGTTTTCTCTGAACGGGATACCCCCGGTGATCACTTTGTCTTCATAACATGTATGTTTGATCTGATCGACTCAACAAAAGGGATTGTCCACCTTTCCTGACCCATCTGCCTGGTCTTCCCTGTTCTCAGTCTGCACCAAACAAACATCTCAGGCTTCTGCCAAGGGTCCCGTACCATGGAGACATTCAGACGCCTCCAATTCCTCCACATACCTGCCTCTCTGAGGTCTCTGCATAGCAGGGAGGACACAGCAGCTGGAAAACCCATCTTGTAGGGTATCAGGCATTCGTCTGGGTAGTGAGGTCACCACTCCTAATAATGACCCCCAGGCCACACATGCTGGAAGCTCTCCACCAGCATATACAAGCAGAAGCCAATCTACTGGTCTGTGGGGTGTTCTGAAATGTGAGTGCAGGAGTGGAAGTACACCATGTCATGTATCCCCGTCACTGCACACCTAAACAGTCCGGTCTGCAGGAGATGTCATGGCAGCCTGCAGGAGATGTCATGGCAGCCTGCAGGCTTTCCTGAACAGTCCTAGATCTGCCCCAGTAGTTGGGGATCAGGACAGACTTGGTTCCTCATTAACATACAATAAATGGCCGTGTGCAAGTCTAGTTCATACGTGACATCTGCCAGCGCAGTACAGACAGCTCTCCAGCCCCCTTCTACACAGAATGAAAGCTGAATTCCAGGGTTGGGTTTATTGTATAGTTAATAGTCCAGCTTGGCCTGTGTCTGTGAGGGATGCTGGAGGTCACTGTAGTAGTTGCTGCTACTACATGGATTTGTGGCTTCCACAGCGATCTTCTTCAAAGGCTTCCATTTATTCTAAACAAATACAGGGTGTTGTAGATGATGAGGGAGGAGATGGTGACGTCTCTGTGGTCCATGGTACAGGACCTGGAGCACATCCATGATCAGCTGTAGTAGCACATCCATGATCAGCTGTAGTAGCACATCCATGATCAGCTGTAGTAGCACATCCATGATCAGCTGTAGTAGCACTGCCTATTGTCAACCTCCACTTCCATGGGGCTCTCCCCGCTGTAGCGCGTTACTCTGTCCAGGCTGAGCCAATAAAATCTGTACCGGGAGTGATGTAACATTGTAAATGTCGGTCATTAGGAGTGGTAGTGATCCCACGCGGTGTGAGTGTCGGTCATTGGAGTGGTAGTGATCCCACGCGGTGTAAGTGTCGGTCATTGGAGTGGTAGTGATCCCACGCGGTGTCGGTCATTGGAGTGGTAGTGATCCCACGCGGTGTGTCGGTCATTGGAGTGGTAGTGATCCCACGCGGTGTGTCGGTCATTGGAGTGGTAGTGATCCCACGCGGTGTGTCGGT